CAAACAACAGCAACAGCACCCCAACACGAAATATCAGTCAACCTATTTGTATACATTTATGAATTAAATGTATCTTTTGCAGCAGGCATAAATGTGAAGGAAAAAAAAAAATCACTATGGGCTGTTCCAAATAAATGTGTGAGTAGCATAAGTGTAAAGAAATCAGTGAAAGGGATAATAGGGATGGAACTTAAAATTTTATTTGCCAGTTTTTAGCAGTGCTGTTAGGAAAAGGAAATATGAGATGGCATGAAAATAAGGATGTATATTTGGAATGTAACAATAAGCATGCCAGGGTAATGCATGGAGATTCAACACTTTAAGAATTAATTAAAGGTGAAAACTGCAAAGCACTTTTGTGAGTGGAAAAATGGCAATGCTCAATAAAATTATCTTCTGCTTGGTTTGGAAACCTAACGGGTAGGAACAGCAACAACATCCACAACAGGAATTAAGGTTGCCCAAAATAATGAAAAAAAAAAACTAAGATGTCTTTCCTTTAATGTCTTACCTTGGTTTTTTGATTTCTTACATAGCTATTTAACATATCAAAATAATAGTAGTGAGAAAAAATAGATATTGGCAATAATACAGAGTCAGCTGATTAAATAGTTATTTGGTTAGTATTTGTTTTCTCACAGAAACAATAGTGATCAATGCTGCTATACAGAAATCTAAAATATGCTATGTTCCTTATAAAAGGATCACATTGAAATGGGTGCTGTGGTTGACCCTGTTATTCTCTTTCAAATTATATATTTTGATTATATAATTTGGGATAGCTCAAGTCATTATCAAGCTCATTGTGTGTTGCTTGAATTGCATTATTTGAATTTCCTGTGTCTGGTCTTTCTCTGTCCTTTAGATTCTGGTGATTCCTCTTACGTACAAATTCGGCAACACCATTTGCAACTCACTTTTCTGATTTCAATGCCATTATTCTCTGCCAAAAAGTATCCAAAGTTTCATTTTCATTTACAAGTCTAAAAGAACTTTTGGGAAAAAATGCCTGACGTCAAATTAGTTTCTCCAATAGAAGGTGTTAGAAGTCAAGTGTGCATTTTATTTCCATTGGAAAAGATCTCGAGGTAGTGGCTTTCCAAATGATTGATCTAAGCCATTACTAAAACTCCAGCTCTTATTAGTTTTTGCCCATAATTTTCTTTTATGATGCCATTGACTTCACTAAGAAATTTTACTGGAGATTGAAGTCCTTAATAGCAATATCTGAGTAAATCTGTTATTAGGAAATAATGAGTTCAAATGGGTTATAAAAATTTCAGGAAACTTGTGAGATTTTTATATCGAAGAGGTCAGAGGCAGAAAAAAAACCCCTAAATTGTAAGCATGGAAGGATTGAGAAGTTTGGACTGAAAAAAAAAAGCCCCAGAGATCCTGCAGTTTAACAGTGTCTTATAGAATAAAGTGCAGAGATTCTCTAAACAAAACATTCCAAAGTTTACATACATCCCATCATGATGAAGGATTTTTTTTTTTTCCCCAACTGCTTTCAATATTTATTCCTCTACAAGTGCTGTGGTGAAAGAGAATGACCTACAAGATTAAAAATGTGTTTGATATGATGCAGAAGGGGTTTAGCTATTTTTCTCTTTTTAATTTTTTAGACCACAACACCCAAAGTGATTGAAAAGATGAAACATGGGTTTTACCTGTAGACTAATGCAATTAATTTCCAGAATCAGGAAACCCCAGACACCTCAGCTTCAGGGAAAAAGGATTTTGTTTTTGTGATACTGAGGAGCAATTTCCTCCACATGAAGGATGTGCCTCACTCTGAGTGATCAAGACTGTGCTAGATTGTATCAGATCTATTGCTGGTTTTAGACAAATTTATTTAAATTGTTTTTAAGAAACAGCTAAGATGAACACAGGACACATTTAATGTTCAATCCATATTTTGGGGGCAGAATCTACTTATTTTTGTGCACATATAGAGCTTTTTAGCACTTTAGTTAATCATAAACATCCGTGGTGTTAATCAGTAGTGACAATGCATCCATTTAGCTTGTGCTGTTCCATGGTTACGTTAAATAAATTTTATGGCTTTCATGAAATAGGAGGAAATAATCAAACCTTAAATATTTTTACGACTAATGTACAACGGGTCATGATCTAATTACGATCAGGTCACCACAGCTGCTGTAGCAGGGAATAAGTCTGAATTTTAGTCAAGATCTTTCACATTAGTAGACATTAAACTATTTAGAAGTTTTTTTCCTGACTTTCCTTTTTCCTGACTTTAATACTGAAAATTTGCTTTTCAATATTAGCATGAGGAGGGCCAGAAGACTGTCACAAAATTTTGTCTGATAAGTCTATGAAAACTAGAAAAACCCAGTTATTTGTATATTCTTTATGCATCTAGTACAACATCCAATGAAAGAACCACTTCCTTTTTCTGTGCAAATTCCAGTTTTTTGTCTCCTTTGGCTTCATTTGCTGGTTGATAATATTGACTCCTTTTTAAAGGTGTATTATCAACTGCAGACATTAGAAATTTTCTTCAGGAATGTGGATTTGTTGCTATATGAATATTTTAGAAATAAACCAGTGTTCTGGTTTCTTTGGCTTTTCTGATTCAAGATGTAAAAGCCATTAAAATTTTATTTTTTGTTAGTTAACTATTTTTTTTTAAACTGTAAAACTATTTAGCAGAAACAAGACATTTTAGAATGAGTTAAGTACTTGAAGCTCAGTTATATTCTCAGCAACCAGGTACTGAGAAACCACAGGAGAAAGTTTTGAGACTTTTAAATGGGAAGCTGCATACAGAAAATAAAATAAACAGCAATCCTGCTCCCTACACTGGAAAACTAAAGGAGGGTGCTGAAAGGACTGACTCTTTTTTATCAGAGAAGGGCTTTTTTTAAAGTTGTGGTTTTGATGTTGCCCTCAACCTACATTTCTTTCTCTTCGAGTTCTATAGATGCCATAAAAGAGAAGCAATAACAGAAAACCTTCAGTTTAGGGAGTTGCTCGCAAAATAAAAGAGAGGCAGTATCCTCACTCCAACATGCAGCTCTGGTATGATTTCAGAAATACAGCTTGTGGTTTGCTTTAATTAGTTCCTTTATATTTGCTTAAAATTTTTGCTTTCAATTTTATTGCAGACTGATTTTACTTTTTTTTTTCTTTGCAATGCAAAAATTAGACTCATCTAAAAAAACCAAAAACTAGAGAAAAACATATAAACATCAAAGCTTATATTTAAAAAATGCATTACGTGCCTGTTTTTCTCTCCTGTCTTGACTGAGATTCTTGATAGAGAAAAGAGGCTTTGCTCTGTTCAAAATAGAGATTATTTGGTTTTTTTTTAATTGGCTGATTTATATTTTGTACTTACAGAGAAAAGGATGTGCTTTTGGACAAGGATTGTTATTAATTTAGCCATATGAAAATTAGAGCTTGTCATAAGAAAAAAAAAAATTCCTTTCTTTTTCAATGGATTTGTGCATAAGCAGAATTTTCTGCCTTGCTCCTCCCTTTCTTTTTTTTTTTATTTTTTCATTCTCCCAATTTATTCCTGACTAGCAATTACTCTGCCTCGTATGTTTTTCTATACCACATATTCTCAGTGAGCATTAGGTCGGCCAGGAGGGGTGCTGCAATGTGTTTTTCCTGCACGATTGTAGTGGCAAATTCAGCCCACAAAAACTTCCTTCCATTTCCTGTTTATCCCCCTTATCCAGCATCCTCATCTTCACCTGATGCTGGAAAAGAACCCAGCTGACCCAGCTGAGCGTTGCTGGGCTCTGAGTGACTTCAGTTCCCTGTGGCCCATTTAATATGAAGTCTTCAGAATAACTTCAGAATGTCAGGAACATAGAACAACAGTTTTTTCTCCCCTTTTTGATGTACATGAAGCTAAATTGCTCTAAAACCTCACAAGTCCGAATAGTTAAGGATAGATTATGTCCTGCTTAGGTTATTTTAAACCTTTAATTGGGAAGTGAGGCATTCTATACATACATTCATAATTCTACAGCGTCACTGAGGAGTGATGCATTGGCTGAAAATCTTTTGGGGCTATTCATGTGGAAATTACACTCTACATAATATCTCTGTCAAAATTTGTAAGTTTATCTTGCGGGAAATGGGGGAGATTTGCTTCATTTATTGACTTTGGTTTCACTTCATATTTATAGGAAAAAAAATCCATATTTTCTGTAATTCTTATCATCAGTATTGTCACTACTATATTTTATAATATATATAAATTGTAATTTATATATATTCTTTTATAATTTTATAATTATAAATATAATACATAAATATATAAGTTATATATATTATAATTCTTTTATATATTACAATTCCTTTTATAATTCTGTTCTAAAATTCTCTTTTAAAATTCTTCACTGATTTCAGTGCAGCAGAAAGCTTCCTGCCAAACCTCTTGTTGTGGTTGTGGGTAAGATCATGGCATGTGTTTTACTGCTTTGTTATTAAACTATTTTCTTGTATAGCTTAACAATAGCTCATGAGACTTTTGATTTGTGTGGAAACTCCATTTCAATTAAATAATTAGTAAACCTTAAAAGAAAGGAAAAAGAAAGAGTGAAAGGTTGTGAAAAGGTTAGTCTACATTTTTTTATTTGTTCCTTTTCAGAATAACCTTTTGGGCATCTCATGCTGTTTCAGTCAAAGGATCCTGGTCAAAATTCAAAACACTTTGGGGCTGTTAAGATACCTTTTGCACTTTAAATGGTCATTCTATTTGTGCTGTATGAATCTTTATTCATTTCAATTTGCTCTATGCAGTTTGGGAGCAGCTGATATCCGGGAAAAAAAGCACTTGGTGCTCCCTGAGTTAAAGTGAGCGAGATCCTGGTATTTCATTGCAGCTGGAAATGAACTGGAAATAAACATTGAACAACCCCAAGCCATCAAGTCCCACTGCTCTGAGCTGCTGCTGAAGGACCATTACAGGCTATAAATATACATTCAGCATCCTCAGCAAACACAGGCTGAGCAGGAAATTTGGCTTCAGTTTCAGCGACCGGGAAAGGGCGAAGCCGCTCTCTAAAATACCCTGGTGTGAGGTGGGTGCTGGGGGTTTGGGTTATGGGGGGAAAAAAATAATAATAATAATAAAAAAAAATCTTTAGACTGTCCTCTTTCAGAAAGTCAGCAAATACTCTGCGTTTCCAGCTCGTGGCTTTAGCAGGCACAAGTTAATGCTGCAGCAACCGTCCCTGCGAGGCTGATGCAGCCCATTAAAATTGGGGGCACTTGGTCACTCTGTAGAATGACTTCAGAAATGAGCTGTAGCTTCTGAGAAGCCTCTCTGAGGAAATGAAATGCAAAGTGAAGTTCTTTAAATGGTCTCAGGTAGAGAGTGTGTGTGTGCGTGTGTGTGAGGGGCAGGGAAATGATATCTTTTCACTTTGCTTTGTTTTTGGTTTTTATTTTCACCTGAAAGGTGCTCGGAACATTATTATATTTCTTAGAGTTTCAGGTGGTGAGTTCATCGTTTATTGTGTTTGAAATGTGTTTTCCAAATAAAAGAGGTTATCTTCCCTTTTTTCTGTGATTCTTTGCCTGTGAATTTTTGCTTTTTATATTAACAGAGCAAGCTGCAGTGGTATGACCTGCTCCAGATGCTGATTTATTTCAAAGGCTCTATGTCTTTCAATAGGAGCAAAAAGAAATAATGAAAAAAAGATGTCCTTATTGTGTTATATTAGAACTTCTGGTCTTATTTTAATTTCATGCACTTACTGTACATAATTTGAAGTAAAAACAATTGAAATTATCCACATTCTCTGCCTGTGGTCTGTAGCCAGCTTTGTTGCTTTGAAGATGGGGATCTGGTCTTCAGAATACCGCAATATCTCTAATAAAATGTATGTAATTAGTTAAATTTTTCTATATTGTTTATATTTATGGGTTTATTGTGATTTTCTCTCTCTTCATTGTGGAAATTCTGAAGTACACCCATTTGTCATAAATTAGTAGAAATGATTGGGCTGTTGGACAAAAGTGTGGAACAGACTAAAACCATCAAGGAAACTAAAAGTAATGGAATAATAAAAAAAAAAAAGCCAAAGATTAAAGAACAATAAAAATCACATTATATATAGGTCTAGTACATTGCTCATAATGAATACCATTCAGCACATCAAAAACCCTTTTGTATTTCTGGTTTTTTTCCTGCAGTTATTTATTTTAACATATATATACATATATTTATCTCAGGTGTGAAGATAAATAGCTGCAAAGTGCCAGAACAATGACAGCAGATTAGAAAATCCTGTTTTTTCAGAACACCAGCACATCAGGACTTGCAGCCTTACACACCTTTTAATTTCTTCCCACAGCTGGGCTTCAAGCTTTATTTTTCTGATTTTACATTCATCCAGTGGGAATATTTAGAAGTCAACAATTTAACTAATGATTGCATTGAACTGCTGCAAATGAATTGTTCAAGATTATATAAAAAAGAGTTTGAAAGTCATTTTTGTTTTGACCCTCAGATATTAAAAAACGCCCATGGTCCTTCAGAAAGGTGTTTGCCTCTAAGACCTGAGACAAAAAAGTTTAACTTTGGTGAACCTTCTTAGGTAACCTGTGTGCTTCTCAGACTTGGTGGTAGTCATAGGTCATTTTACAGAAATTATTCAGTATAATTCATGATGACTCAGATATATTCTGCATCAGCTTTGGCTGGGCCAGGGCAGGTTGAGGATGGACAGCAGCAGGAATTTCCCCATGGAAAGGGTGCTCAGGCCTTGGAAGGAGCTGCCCAGGGCCAGAAAGGGCTGGAGGTGGCACTCAGAGCTCTGGGCTGAGTAAAATATGGGGATGGGTCAAGCATTAGACTGGATGGTCCCAGATGGGCACCATCTGATGGTTTTTATTGCCATCCAGGGGTCTCTGCACAAATCACAAACGGGATAAGACTGCTGTGGAACGTGCCTTGAGCTGTTTGATTTTCCAGCATCACTCTCATTACATGGTTGTGACAATGGGAAGATGCCACCAGCTCACATCCCAGGCAGCAGAACAAAAACCTAATATTACAACTCACTTTATAAGTTTTTTGACCAATCCCACAAAGCAAAAGCACATTGACAGTGTTTATATCTGTACAGTAAATATTCTATATTGACAGTAGTACTGTCCAATCACTATAAGCACAGGTACCTTTGGTTAAACAATGTTTGCTTATTTCAAATACAATACCTGCTTGTAAGCCTTGAAACACAATGCACAGAGCTCCATTATTAAGCTTAGAACTTCCTAATATCTTGCTGGATAAACTTTCTGTAGCTTAGGGAGTTATTCTAGACAAGCATTAATACACAGACCATTGCTCTATTTGTCGTCGCCTTTCTACTTTTTAAATAATTTTTCTGCTGACCAATCTCATGGCTGCTGCTTATCTCCAATCACAGTTCCGCTGACTCTGGGGCCTGCCTTTTGCAGCTTTCCCAAAACCCTCTGATTTTGTGGATTCCCACAGTTTCCAACATCAATAATTATGTCATTCCGTTATCTATGTGGTTTTCAAAATGTTTAACAGTTGGGGTTTAGAAAACCCAGAGATTTTTGTGGTGTTCACATATGAGGGAATTTACTCTGGAAATCTGCCTGAGAAGGAGGAGGAGGAAGAAGAAGAAGAAGAAGAAGAAGAAGAAGAAGAAGAAGAAGAAGAAGAACAAGAAGAAGAAGAAGAAGAAGAAGAACAAGAAGAAGAAGAACAAGAACAAGAACAAGAACAAGAACAAGAACAAGAACAAGAACAAGAACAGGAAGAAGAAGAAGAAGAAGAAAGAAGAAGAAGAAGAAGAAGAAGAAGAAGAACAAGAACAAGAACAAGAAGAACAAGAACAAGAAGAACAAGAACAAGAATAAGAAGAAAGAAGAAGAAGAAGAAGAAGAAGAAGAAGAAGAAGAAGAAGAAGAAGAACAACAACAACAACAACAACAACAACAACAACAACAAACAACAACAATAACAACAAGACAAAGAAAAAGAAGAAGAACAAGAACAAGAACAAGAATAAGAACAAGAAGAAAAACAACAAGAACAAGAAGAAGAAGAAGAACAAGAACAAAAGAACATAAGAAGAAGAAGAAGAAGAAGAAGCAGAACAAGAAGAAAAGAGCAAGAACAAGATAGCAGAAGGAACTTTCGAATGGCAGATTTAAAGGAACAATTCACCTCTCATAGATACAAGGGAATAAGGGTTGATATTCAAAATTTTAGTAATACACAAAAGCAAGTACTTCTTTCCTGCAAGAATGCCTGTTAGTAGATTCAGCTAAACCTACAAAATCTTGTTACCTGACAAGAGTTTAGTAGTCAGAAAGAACAGCTGAGCAGATACTGAGCTTTGTTTAACACATTCCCAAGTTTATTGCTTTGCTTCAAACTCTATGGCTTCATTGCATGCAGAGCAGACAGCTGGATTTGCCTTTGGGAAAAAAAAATAATACGTCCCTCTGGAATAGCACAGAATATTTGGCAAACAGACAAACATCAAGGTAATCCCTATTCTCAAAAAAGTAACCTCTGAAATTTTATGTGATGTTGTTGTGTGTGTTCCTATAAATGCTAATTTTTGGGTGTTTATGAGGTGTAAGTTAATAAAGCTGACAATAAAATTTTCTGAATGTTGTTTCTTTCCAAAATGTTTAGGCAGCCATCTGGGACATGTGAGGCCAGGTAAATACCTGGAATTTCTGGCCAGTGAAATTGAGGTAGAAAGTGAGATGGTTACTGGGGCCGCAATGTCAATGAGATCTGGGAGAAAGCAATATTTTCTGGTAGTCATGAGCCTTTTCAGCACTTATTTATAACCAGACAGAAATTCGTGGCCTTTAGGTGAAAAGCTCAACTTGTCTGAGTGTTAGCCACATGCTACCTCATTTTCCTCCTTTAATGACTATTCACAAGGTCTCTCAGAGGATTTATATATTTAGAAATACATTAATTAATTTTTATTACTAATATTATTATTGTTTTGTTATTATTATTATTGTTGTTTATTATTATTAATACTACTCTTATTATTGGTTTCTTCTACTACTTGTTTTTGTTATTATTATTATTATTAATATTATTATTATTGTTGTTGTTGTTGTTATAGTTATTGTTATTATTATTCCTCCTAAAATATATTTTTAAGTTAAAATAGTTCAGGTGTATTGAAACTCTACAGATGTAAAATTGGAATGTGACTTGTTCAAGGAGAGGGATTTTTTTTTGGTGGTGTCACCCTTTCAGCTCACTAAAAGGAAAGATTAACCATTCATAACTACAATGCAAGTATTTTTCATGAAAACTTACAAAACAGAACGAGTGAATCCTATAAAAAATAATAAACTTAGACTCAATTTTTCAGCATGTTTGCAAAGCACTTGGTGCACGTTTAAGAACATTTTAGAAATGAGTTTTTTTCTTCCCACTGGATGACTGAAGAGAACTTCCTTACTGGAATTTTGTATTTTCTATAAAAGCATCTGCTCATAATTTCTTTTCCCCCCGATTCCTATTGATTCTAAGGTCTAGGTCCCTGTGATTTCCATAATGCACTCTTAAATTAATAAACTGCTCTTCTGCAGCATCTCAGTGGTTCTCTCCCCACCTGGCTGAACATAACCCAGAATTAATAAAAATAAATTGGGAATGAGCAATTCCCTTTCCAATCAGTTTGTAAGTGGCAGTGCCAGAGGGAAAGTTTCTAATCTTAATAAAGCTTAAAAATTTATGCTGGTCAACATATTTCGATGGTTTTTACGAAAGCAACTTAAAATTTTGGTTATTTAACCCAAATTTAAATGTAAGGAAGATGAGATTTTTATTGCCTGGTCAGAGGAGAAGCTTCCACCTGGAAGAATCAGGAGAAAAGCAGAAAAGGCTGGAGGCAGCAATCTTGGGTAAACAGACAAGCATCTTGAAAAATATTCTTTCTCCTGCTTCAGCTGGTGGACTTTGAAATTCCTCTCTGACCACGACATTAAACCAGATGGATGAAGGAGCAGTGGTACCAACAGGGTCTCTTCTGCAGTAGTATTTTAAATGCTATTCACTATTTATATATATACATCTCCTTCCTTAAGAGTAACTTGCGGTTTATGGGAAGTCAAAATGCTTCCTGAGGAATCACAGAGAAGTCGCAAAAAAGGAATTCCGTCCCTCTGACAAGGGAGTTGACATGTAATGGCAAACACATCAAGAAAATTGGCAATAAACATGTCAAAACAAAGTTTTGTTTTGAAAATCACTGAAAAAAAATGTATATAAAGAAGCCATTAGAGTTTTAAGAATTAGGAGGTGTAAAGAGGTTTTCCAAAGCCGAAGTGTTGACTTCATGGCAAAATAATGCAGTTCCAGGTATTTATATGAGAGGTGCTTTATTTCAGGTGAACATAAATATATCCAGAATCACAGAACTAGAAAAAAAAAATTTTATTTTTAGTTCTAGTTACAACTTTAATATCATCCTTTACAGGTTTTATCTTTGTCATAATTTCCTCAAAGCAGTTTTACCACTCAGAAAATAAGGAAATGGCGGCCAAATTACCAAATTGCCTTTTTGCAAAAAAAAAAAAAATAAAAAAAAAAGGCATCAAAGAGGTTTAGGAGCTAACGAGTTAACTGAAAGAGCCAACAGATTAAAAAAAAATGTGTCCCTTCAGGAACTTTTGAATAATGCCTATGCTTATTCTCCATTTAGTTTCTTTGGAGAAATGCTTTTTTGTTTATTTTTACCCATTTTGTTTTTTTAAATTTTTTTTTCGTATGATTCAACTGACATAAAGCTGCAGGGTAGTTGTTTGTTTAATCCCCTCTCTCCTTTTTTTTTTTTTTTTTTCTTTTCACAGAGAGAAATTATAAAACCATAGAAAACTCCATTGCTGTCTTGCAGTCTTACTGCCATTAATGGGAGCTTTACACTCAATTACCACCATCTCCACAGAAAGTTTAATCAACCGACGTAATGTGGAAAAAAATAAATGTATTTAACAGCTAGATTGAGTGGAATCATAGCATTAAGCACAGTGAGATATCTCTGCACTGCCCTAGCGTGAGCTATATCCCAAATAATGAGAGGGGGAGGAAAATGACGCTTGAAGCAGCCTTGTACCAGAAATAAATATTGCATTATTATTCCCGTCATTGGAAATAACTATGATAATGCACTGGCTATTGATCTCTCTCAGTGGGGCTCCAGGTCTGCCTGGCTGCTCATCCTGAACGGCTCCGTGGGCTGCAGGAGCTGTCAGCGCCTGAACTTTTTGGCTTTGCTGAGTTTTGTGCCTCTGGGCTGCCCTCACTTGGGCTGCTGGCAGCGGGGCAACGTGGAAAACAAAACACATTTAAACATGTGCAATAAGGTTTGAATTGTGGAAAGAGAAAGAGGAAAAGGAAAGGAAAAAAGAGAAAAAGAAAGAAAGAAAAAGAAAAAAGAGAAAAAGAAAAAAAAGGAAAAAAGAAAAAAAGAAAAAGAAAAAGAAAAAGAAAAAGAAAAAGAAAAAGAAAAAGAAAAAGAAAAAGAAAAAGAAAAAGAAAAAAAGAAGGAAAAGAAAAAGAAAAAGAAAAAGGAAAAGGAAAAGGAAAAGGAAAAAAGAAAAAGAAAAAGAAAAAGAAAAAGAAAAAGAAAAAGAAAAAGAAAAAGAAAAAGAAGAAAAAAGAAAAAGAAAAAGGAAAAGGAAAAGGAAAAGAAGAAAAAAAAGGAAAAGAAAAAGAAAAAAAAGAAAAAGAAAAAGAAAAAGAAAAAGAAAAAGGAAAAGAAGAAAAAGAAAAAGAAAAAAGAAAAGAGGAAGGGAAAAGAGGAGGAGGAAGACAAAGGGGGAGGGGAAGGGGTAGAAGGAGAGGAAGAGGAAGAGGACAAGGAAGAAGAAGAAAAAGAGGAAGGGGAAGGGGAAGGGAAGTTCTGGGAAAGAAAAGAAAAAAGGAAAAAAAAAAGAAAAAAGAGAAAAGAAAAGAAAAGAAAAGAAAAGAAAAGAAAAGAAAAGAAAAGAAAAGAAAAGAAAAGAAAAGAAAAGAAAAGAAAAGAAAAGAAAAGAAAAAAGAAAAGAGAAAAGAAAAGAAAAAAGAGAAAAATTTTTGTTTCACAAGGATGAAATTTTCTTTTAAAAATTGAAGAAATATATTTAGAAAATAATTGTGAAAGATAAGCAAAAACATTAATTGAAACGTGTAGTACTAAAATTATTTCTTTATGATTTCAGAATGCTTTTTAATGTTTATGGTTTAAATCATCTGGCCATGCTGGTTTTCCAGATTGGTTGTTTATATAGAATTTTCACTGGAAATGTTATATATATTTTTTTTTTAGCATATTTTTAGCAGGGGAGGAGGTGTCAAAATTATGTTTTCACAATATAGTGATCTGATTTTTTTTTCTTTTTTTGTCCTTTTCCTTCCTTTCTTTTTTACAGATAATTCACCAAGTTTTTTTTGCCACTCCTAACAGACGTGTGTTTTGGTTTTCCTAATTTACAAATATTGTAAATTTAAAAACTAGAGCATATATCTAATAACTATAGACAAAGTACTTGTGACCATACTATGCTATAGTAGTACCTCAATATAATAAGATTACAGAAAATAATCTGAATATGCACAAAAGAATCTTATAACTTATTTTACTTTTAAAAAACATACGTGCAGTAAAAAATTTGACCTTGTGGAAGCAGCCTTTAAAGATTTGGGTGTTTTTTTTCATTGGCTTATAAATTAACAGTGTTTTTGAGCATATAAAAATTATGTGCTGTCAGAGCTGGAGCAATTGAATGATTGACTGAAATTTCTATTAAGAAAATGGGAGTGCACCACAGTGCTCTGCATTCTGTAGCTGCTTTAATGGAGTTTGAAACGAGTGAAAACCCCCAGAACTGATGCAGAACAGAAACAAACATTTTTTTTTTTTAATATTTGTTCAGTCTTTATTATTTAAACTTTTCATGGTTCCCAGGACTTGAGGGTGGCTGCAGTTTCAAGACCCAGGACGGGCTGGATAGTAATTGGCCAGTGAGAGTAAACAAGGGAAATTTTTAAAAAGAGTGGGAAATAGGACACTCCTGATAAAATATTCTGCAAGAACAGTAATATACCCCAGTTTTCTAAACATTTGTAATCGTTTTTTGATTGAAAGGCTTCCCAGGCAGTGGTTTTACTTAGGCAATTTATTAATTTATTCTCTGTACAAGATTCAAAAGCTAATTCTCAAAAAAGTCACCTTTGCGTATAACGTACCTAAATATAGGTGTCGTTAAAAATAGGAATGAGATTCAAAACAACAAACAGAATCCTCTCAATTATAGGGGAAACAAAACCTCCTAAGAGTCGATGAGTTTGTCTGGGTAGGGAATTTCACGTCTTTTAAGGCTAATTTCAATTTGACATAATTTCAATGTAGACATTGTAGTGCCAGGTAATTTACATTCTGTCATCTAACAAAGTTAAGTATAATCCTTAAAGCGAGATTATTTCTCTCCTTAACTGCAGATAAGGCTGAAAAAAATGAAGAAAGAGAGCACAGGTGAAGAGAGCACAATACACACGGAAATGAATTAACTAACATACCTAATTAATGTGGTGTACTAATTGAAAATTGAGCCCCTGATATTGAAAATTTTAATCTGCCTTGTTTCTCAGTACAGTATTAATCCAAGGTAACATTAAATTTCCTCTGTAAATATTTTCTATGTAAAGTAATCAAAATTAAATCCCAAATTCTGCAGTGCATAATGTTAAAATTAAAACTTGTAGATGAAGTAATAATCTCAGAAAGTTGCAGGTGCTTACGTTTTGTGCCTTTAAGTTACACTGAAATAATCCTACCCACATAATGCACCAGCCTTTGACATTAGAAAGGAATATGGCATTACTGAATTAATAATCATATTAATTGGTATGTACAGCTGTGAGAGCGCTGATATTGAACCGGTTTAGCACAGATTAATGTAGACGTGGCAATCTGAATATTTTCATATTTTCATATTCATGAATATCCGCATGTCGTTAAAACTTGGTACCTTAAAGACTCAGGGGCATTTTGTCCCCAGAAAAGTCTTTGGTTTGCTGCTTTCAGTAGCATTTACCATCAAACCTGGGCAAAGGTTCAGTAACCATTTCAGGTGTCCAAATCTCATGGAGAGAAACCCACGCTGAAGGAGTCCTAGAAGTGATCCCAAACCTCTGAATCTGAAACTCAGTGAAATGGCAAATTAAGCCTTTTACACGTGTGCTTTCATCGGGGGGTCTTTAAATGGGGAAATTATCCCATTATTCTCATCCTTGAGTGGTCATGCAAGGTGTATAGAGACAGAAATTCAGAGTAAGATCTTTTTGTGGTTTTTTGCAGGAAATTGCAATAACACCAACAAACACAACCATGTAAAGTTGCTGTTTTTACATAAACATTTTTAATTGTTTTGTTACAACAATTGAGATTTTTTTTTGCCTTATATAGATTTGAGAGTTGTTATAATTTATTTCATACATTAAAACAAACCAAAACAAACAAACGTGATCCACTAAAAATAACCCCACTTGGTAATACAACAAATCTAATCAAAGAACACTGCAATAAATCACTAAAAACTTTTTTCCAATACCATCCACTAATCAATTAACATTCAAACTGCCTTATGCCATTACCCTGACATTTCTTAGGCCTCATTTGTAATTTAAATCAAGTAAGACCTTTATGTTCAACTGGTATCTTACTGGTATCTGTAAAAAAATCTGACATCCCAAAATGTGTTGATTTTGGTGGAATTGTTGTGGATTATAGGAGTGATTTATGACTGGGGAAACTGTATCTTTGAAAAATCAGCCTTTACAGCCAGACCCATTTATCCGTTTCTCCGTTTCTTTTATTAATTCCTAGTGGTGGAAACAACTCAGAGTGGGAATGGTTTTCTTTTAAGTATTGAAATTAAGTCATTTACTCTTACATAGGTCAGGTCTTTCCTTGGCATGAGAGGGGAAAAAAGGTCATTACCAGGGACAATGGAATTCTCAGGTGCCTGATGCTCTACATAGAATAATTGTTGACAAATCCATTTTATTCGTAGGTAGCTGAAGCTGGGTGGAATTAATCCCTAACTTTGCCTTGCCTTTGATCTAGAAATCACCACCTGCTTCTAAAGAATTCTGTGAGAACTGTAAACCACCAGGGATTTCAAGGAATTGAGCGTGAAAGTTGAAATTTATTGAATTACTATAGGATTTTCAGCTATTATTTGAAAATTCAACTTCTTTCTAAAGAAATCAGGAGCAATTATTTTAGATTCCTTCATTCTAAATGAATAGCTTGCCAGATTTCCATCAAACTGTCCCAGCTGTTTCCCTTTACATAGGATTGCCTCCCTCTCCTGAGCAATCTCCAGGTCAATTCTCTGCAGTTTCATAGCACTGCTTTAGTTTTTAAAAAAAAAAAATCCATCAAATTTGACTCAAAGCATGAATAGGAACATACCAGCAAAGGGATTTTGAATGTTAGACAGCTGCGGGATTTTTATTTTTTCCATCTCTTGAGGTGTTTTACACAAGCAGAGATAAAATGACAGAAATGATAAATTGGAATCTAATGGAGTAGAACCTGGCTGCATTCATGGCTGCAGACCCTGTCCTAAAAATTCCTGCATGAGTAAAGCTTTTTTTTTTTATTATTATTTTTAAAGAAAACAGAAAAATTAAATAAAAATCCATTAATTAATACCAGAAGACCAACGATCTCCCCCCTCCACACAAAAATTAGAGATAAATTAATTTTGCGCCATAATTTACAGATAAATCAATTTTGTGATGTTGCTACCTGATGAGGGCTTTTTTGATGTTGGCATCTGTGGGCAATAAAAATCTGCGTGTTTCTTTCCATATTTGAACTGTATAAACAATTTAGATTTCCTGGAACAACAACAACAAAACCAGCAAAAAGGCTGGAAATTTCA